TTTTTTATAACCTACTTTTCTGCCCCACAATATAAACTCAACACTTTCTATGTCATGAAGGTCCTTATAAAATGTCATTTTAATGGATTAGAGCATTTGTGGCCAAGGGGGCCATCAAGTGCTAGGTCTTCTCTGCAACAGCCATTGCAGCCAAGAGAGGTACCATGTTTCATTTAACTCCTTCCTTCCTTTGGGGTTGCCAATCAAAACACATCTCTCTCTAAGCCACCACACATACATTGTCGTGAGAAGGGCTCTCCATGTGCGTCTACACCATGCAGACATTCAGCCCTGCGGTGCTTTCCTGCTCCCAGGAAATAAGGTGCTGCCCTGGGAAATGTTTGGGTCAATGACATGGAAGCAGCAATGATACTGGGCAGAAACTTTGAGGAATGGTGCACATTTAAGAATGTTCCCTTCCCACCAGGGAGCTGGAGACATACCCTCCCTCCACCTGGAACTCCATATGCACAGTCCTAGCCACGCTGTGAAGAGCATATTGCTCCTGAACTCTGTGGTCCTGACCATTGAGATTCAGGCCTGTGTTGTTTCTGTAAAGTATCCTCCCTGGTCCTAACTGACAGGGCTGTTGAAGAGACAAGTTTAAGAGAATCCCACGCCTTAAATTACAGGTGGCTTAGTTGGGGAGGTCCACCCCAAGTGATGGAAGAGTCCAACAGTGAGTAACAAATAACCACTCAAAGCAGAGCCATTGTAAGGGTGCCCCAGAGCAGCATGGCAGAGTTTGACCCCAGAAGGGCTAGCTCTGAAGCAGTCTGAGGGGCGGGCCTCCCAGTGCTGGGATGGCAGGTGCAGACTTCCTGAAGGAAGGGCAGAGAGGCTTCCAAAAGATGGGGAGGTTCGTGGCCAGGTGGTTGGGACTGAGGAGAGGGGCAAAGGGGGTTATGATGGAGGAGAACACGGAGCCCAGAAGACGGGCAGGGAGATGATTTTGCACGAAGCAGGAGACTTGAGGAAATGAAAGCTGGAGACAGCCTGAGAGAGAGGAAGGAGGCAGACTGGGCCAAGTCCCTGCTGCAAGAGGAACCTCATCCCTCTCCCGTGATGCCTGGGCTTTGCTTAAAGGGAAAACACCTCCCTAACTGCCTCCTTCAGGAGTGGCACCGGAGGAGCCCCTGCGGGAGCTGACCATGGCCAGTTGCGATCATGAGCACTCTGCATTCCAGAGTCAGTTTGCAGATGAAGTCGGGCCTGTCGTGTTTGCCAATCCTGTTTGAACCATCACGCCCAACAGCTGCAGGTGCTGACCTCACTTCGTTCTTACCAGTTAGCATCAATCGGTGTCACCCAGTCAATGCCAGTCCATATCAGTCAGTATCTGTCAGTCAACGTCAGTGTCATCTAGCCACTTGTGAGTCATCGGGTCAATGTCACTGTATCTGTGTCAGTCAGTCAGTCCATCCATGTGGGTGTCAGTGTCCGCCGGTCAGTGTCTGCCAGCCAGGATATGCATGACACTCAGACCTCTGACCATGGGGCCCATTTCCCTTTTTATTTGTTTACCCAGCACCTTTCTGGGAATTAAAATCCGTGTGTCCCTCTTCCTGAAGATAGAACTCGGGACAAATTAATTCCTGAGCTGGGTCAGGCCCCTGGTTTCCAGCTGGGCCTCCGGCAGCCAGGTGAGCTGCCAGGATTCTGGGAGCTTTCTGAGCCCTGTTCAGAGGGGAGTTGAAGGGCTGGTGGAGCTCATCTGAGCCCAGCTCTAGGACTGGCACAGTTACCAGGTGATACCTCAGGCCCCACAGCAGCAGGCTGGCCCTTCCGCCTTCCTCCCATGGAAGGCTATGCTGTCTGTGGACGGGCAGACTCGAGGGAGGCTCTTCCTAACCCAGCTCTTCTTTTTCAAATAGGACCAGAGCTGAGTCGGGGGTAAGGATGGGCCCTTGGCCCAGTCCCCAGCATTAAACTTTATTGTGGGTCTGTGTTTTGTCTGCCTGAACAATACCCCCCTTTCTTTGAGAGAACTGCTCATTCCCTGCTTGCACCCCAGTCTTCCCTGTGGGCTTGTGCAGGAGCTCACAACCACAACACAAGCCCTCATTCTAGCCAGAGGTGGGAGTGAGACCCAGTCTGGATTAATCTGAGTACTTCCTTATCCCACAGTGATTGGGCCAGGGATGGTCACGTGACCCAAGCCCAGCCACTCGGAACCCTTCCCCAGAATTTCTCAGAAGCCACCTCCTAAGTCCTTTAGCTGGAAGGATATGTGCTGGCAGCAGAATGGCCCTCATTGTGTAGGGGAAGCTTCGAAGGAGACAATAAACAGAAGGAGACAGGTGCAGAAGGAAACAGACAAGAGGAGACTGACAGGGTTTCCAGCAGCTAATTCCAGTCAACCCCACAGCTGCCTCCATCCCTGGCCCCCTGCCATTTGGTTTTGTGAACCACAGTTGTAGCCAGAGAGCCTTGCCTAATACAAACAGTATAACTGCTGCCAGTTTTAGGCATCTGACCCATTCGGAAGTAGATGAACCAGTTTGAGATCTTCCCAAGCCCCATAACTTCTACCAGGGAACCCCTCAGTCCTCAGGTAGATAGAGTGGGCAGACCCTCAAGTAGAGGCCTGGCCCCAAAGCTCCTGCCCCCAAAGCTCATGGCCTTTCCTAGCTGATGGGTGTGTGCATCCTGGGCTCTGACCTCCTTCACTCAGTGTTTAGTTATGAACACACTGTAGGAACTGAGGCTGTCCTTTTGCTTACCTTGTTGGTGACTCCAGGTCGGCCGGCTTCATAGACATATGACCTGTGCAATGATCACACAGGGTCTTGCCCTTAGAAGTACCTCATGCTCTTGTGCTGCCATCATCTTGAAATTCTTAACCATTTTGAACAAGGAGGCCTACATTTTAAAGTTGCACAGAGCCCCACAAACTATGTAGCTGGTCTTGGCTCCATGCAGTCCCTCCTGGTGGGATTTGGTATGTACGCGAATTGCTCCAGCTCCTACAATCTCTGTCTCCACTGGCCCCGTCTTGTGTCTTCCATATTCCTTAATGCCATTGGCTTCCCTCACTTCCCACCCCTCCATACGTGGACTTTCCTCCCAGAATGCAGCATATCTGTGGCCTCCTTCAAACTGGACCCACCCCAGCTGGTAGCTGGCTCATTGCTCTCCATCTGAGAGAAAATGAAAAATCCAGGCTGGAATTCATTTTATTTGGAACAATGCCGAAATGAGGCTTTTCTTGCTTCTACCCTTGAACCACCTACATTCTGCAATTTGGCCTCGAACCTTCTAAACAGAGTCCTCTGGGAAGGCTGAGCTGGGGCAAACACAGGACAGCCTGAGCTCCTCTGAGAGGGCAGGCAAGACCTCTGCTGCAGGTTTCGACAAGAAGGACTGCTTTGTAGGTCTGTAATGAGGATTTGAAAGTCTAGCAATCAGGTGAGCGTCTGGGTCCTTGGGGATAGCCTGCTGAACAGCCAGCAAAGGTGTGTGCCTGGCTCCTTCTCCAAAGGAGGGAAAAAAGTGGATTCTAGCCTCTCACATCCACTCCCAAGGGAGGAATAACACTGAACAGCAGCTGTGAAACCAGCCACGGCCCAGGCTTCACACCCCGGGGACTGACTGTGAAAAACCAGTGGAAAGCGGAGGGAGAAACTGATTCACAATTTGACAACCGAGTCCAGGTGTGGTAAAAGTGATTTATTTCTGGAACACAGTAACAGCTATGCAACTAGGAACATTCCATTTACCCGACCCATCCGTGTTTTTGTGTCACAAAGACATACTAAGACTTTGGAAATTTTCCAAAGGGGATTACACTTGAAATGTGCTGTTTCTTCACTTTTTTTTTTTTTTGTACTTGTCTTAATCACAGCAAACCAAGGAAAATAGCTTTACAGCTTACTAAAACTCAAACATATCCTCATAGGAAGCAGCTTAAACATTTCCAACTGTAAATTAGCAACTCAGTGATTCCCCATCAAAAGCCAAGGAAACAAAAAGCAGCTCTAACACTGAGCTTATCTTGTCCATTGTGAGGAAAATCTAAATGATACAGGATGATAAAGCAACCCTGCAGGTGCAGTGTCCACTGGGAAAAAGAGGTAGGGGACAGATCTGGCTGAAACCATACTGAGAATCTGATTTTTGTTTGTTTATTTTTCCTTATTTATTTGGTTGTTTCAGCACTAGGGATTGAACCAAAGACCTTATGCCTGCTAGGCAAGTACCCTATCATTGAACTGCATCCCTAGCCCATTTTTACAATTTATTTTGAGATAGAATCTAGCTAAGTCGCCCCAGATGCTTCAAACATGCATTCCTCCAGCCTCAGGCTCCCTGAGAATCTGACTTAAAAAGAGGAAGCAGTCACAGGAAAGCATAACATCGCTTATATCTCCACGGGGCAGCATTTACCATAAACGAGAGGGTTTATAATAACCTAGAAACCCACCGGAGTTTCCCAGTGTGTTTGCCAGACAGCAGGAACTTGCAGGTGTTGGGGACTGGATCTCCACCGGCAGGTGCCTCACCTGCTCTCTGGATAGCTGAGTTACCAAGTCTGCAAATGCACACCTGGAGAGCTGCCACTGTACAGAATGGGTGGGTGCCACCCGGCAATGCCAGGGCAACTGAGGATGTAGGGGTCCAGGTCTAGTGGCACTGTCTCATTTCTTGTCTCTGGCTAACAGGTGGGCCTCTTTCCCCCAAGCCCCAGAGCAGTAGCACCCTGAAGAAGCAACACAAGTGGGAAGTGGTATAAACCTCCAGGAGAGCCCAGCTCTCCACTGACTCATCTGGAGGCTTTTGAGGGGAAAAAAAAAAATCCTGATTCTTGGTCACCTGTTTATTTTAAGTGTGGCTTAGAAGGGCTTGTTCTGGAAATTACCATGATGGATGACTGAAAAAAAAAAAAAA